CTGAGCCTGTATTGATCAGCTACTGTTTGAACTGAGCTCCAAAACAACCTCTGACCTTCCTCTGGGGGATCGATCCCCGCTACTGAGTGCAAAACCTCGCCCAAAACCTCCACACAGACCTCCACTGTTTGTTTGAGCACTTAATGGGCTGCTGTGCCATATTTGACATCCTTAATGTTTTAACGGAAGAGCAGAGGTTTGTTTTACTAACACAAATACCCCCTCCCAAGGATGAGCCAAATAAATGTCGATCAGAGTTCTCTTTTTTATTCTCTTTGATCTTATATAACTTAAAAAAGAAAATAGAGCTTGTCTTAAACTGATCAAAGCTCCTCACTTTTCTCTATATATTATATTACTTCTTACATCAACAATTGTCTATTAAGCATTTACACTGAGGCGTCATGTGAGATTCTGTTTCCCTCTTCAGTCTCTAATCAGCATTTACAGCAAAAATATACAAAGTCTCGCTTTACTGCCCTGATTTGGACATTTATTTTTGTGTCAGTTCCATGAATGTTCCCATGTGATGGTATAAACAGCAAAGGCTGATTTGGTACAAGTTTAATGAGGACCGTTTGGTTAAATCTACCAGAGCAAAAACGTTCTCCAGTACTCAATTCAAACATTTTAAAATTATGTCCCTTTCACGTATAAAACTGCTGCAAATCATAAATGTTCTATAAATAATGTGCACATTCTTAAATCTATCAGACTAACACACCGTTAGAGAATCCTGTTTTCTTTAAATTTCTTTTTATTACTTTTCTCATCTGCTCGAAAATTATTTTCTTCAGTGCATGTTACTTCGGACACCCCTCACACTGGCTGGTTTATTGATGTGCGTATATATATTGCTTCTGTGAGGCAAAAATGTCAAATAATTTAATTCTGGATCACTGAAACAGCAGTGTCTTTGCTAAATGTACAGACGCAAGTTGCACAGTGTGGTAATTGTTTGCCGGGTGCTACATTGTGAGTTGCTATTGTCCTCAATGTTACACGTTAACCAGAAAACGTCTAATATTAACAAGCAGGAAGGGGTCACATCACCACCTTTCGCAGCATACTTTGGCCAATAAATCAATTCTCCTCTCTTTTTTATGCCTGGACAAGTAGATTAAGCCTAATCCAGCTCCAACTGTATGTCCACTTAGACGTGTAGGGAAATGTCCAAAGCACACACACAGAAAACAGTTAAGTTTTTTTAAATAACGAACTGTATCAGGGATCCAACTGCAGATAGAGATACACACATGCTCACAACAGGACTCTTCACTCACTTGTACCGATGTGTAAATAAGGCTGAATGAGCTTGCTTCCAAATGTTCCGACTGGAGGTGTGGAAGAAGATTCTGGAAAACAATGCTTTGGTCCAAATGTATTTTTAGTTGTTACTGCTGAGTCAGACATCTTCAAAGTAAAATATGTCCAATGTTTTGCCCGGGCGGCTAAAAGCCAAGCTCAACTCTTGTTTCCATCTGATGCTGACATACACACACATACACACACACACACACACACACACACCTTGCAGTTTTGGGAGGTTGCAAGACAAAAAACTGGAACTGCTGCAAGTGATGGAGTGGAAAAAAAAGACGGAGCCAATCTGAGGGTGAAGGAGGGGAGGAAGAGCTGATGAGAGAGTGGAAAAAGACATGGAGATGGACAAAAAGATAGACGGGGATGGCGAAGGGTATGACGAAGATAGACTGACGTCCTCCGAGATAACAGATCGCCATGGCGACCTGCCTGTCAATCAGTCTGTCAGCCACATCCACTCTTGGCCCCGCCACCGCACTCAGTCCCCGCCGGACACACACAATGGATCGTTTGTGCCCCTATATGTGTGTGTCCATAACCACCGGGCTATTAACAGGCACTCTCAACTCCGACCGTCTTCTGATCCATGTATGAGTGACACTGGAGCCATGATGGCTCCCCAACCCCCAAAGACGGCATAAAGACACAAGACTTTTCTTTTTTTTTTTTTTTTTTAGAGATGTAGAACAGAGACCACGTTGGCTTCATGCACAAGTACAGATGCAAAGTTCTTTGTTTTCTACTTTCTTTTCTTTTCAAACACCCTTATATCCAACACAATTACAGTACTCACCGCAATACACGGCGGGGGTGGCGGGGGGGGATAACCAGAACATTGCAAAAAAAGTTAAGATAGAAAGAAACCGACTGTTTTCACAGGACTCTGGAAAAATACCTTTAGTTGCTGCCATTCTTCTTCTTTTTTTGCGCCAATTTTAGATTATAAATTCCCAACCATATAAAACAAACATGCAAGCCAAACGAGAAACTCAGAAGGTGGTTAAACCTTAGATTTTACTTGTCAAATTATGTGGTCTCTGGTTATTACGCATTTAATATCTTGAGGGAAAGAAAAGTCACATATGTCAAGATTTAAAAGGTTTGAAAGAGATAAAGAGCTAATTCAATAAAGCCTGGGCCCTGGGTGCATGTAGGTTTATGAGTGTGTACATGCGAGGTGGGGGTGATACATGGACGTGCATAGCGGGGGTTAAAGTAGAGATGAAAGGGCGACCATTGCCTGTTGATGACTGATAGCATTCAGCAGGGCTTTGGCTGATGTCTGCCTGATAACACAGAGGACGGCTCAGTCAGTCTTTAGGCAAAGGGGAGCCTCAGACGAACCAATCCGGAGCCACTGAAACAACCAAGCAGTAGCTGGGGTTTGAATGTGTATTCAGGGATCCATACTTTAAAAAACCTGGCTCCTGGTTGCAGAGGTTACTAATTTGATGGATTTTTTAACTTTCCAGAACAGAAAACCTGACAGCATTTTGCCATGCAGGCATAGGATTGAATAGATCTGGTGTGAGGATGTTACTGGAGCTGTTTTACAATCCCTAATTGCCAAACTGGCAGAAAAGAGCAGAATAGGGAACCTGAGGTTTGTTTTATGCAACCAATGAAAAAATATATTTTTTAAATTTCCTTACAAGCTTCCTTGAGGATACATGAAGTAGCAAAACTAGGACTAAATCACTGCTGTTAAAACCTCACAATTAGAGTCAGGTTAGGTGTATGTCTTTGTTCTAGGTAAAACCATGTATAACATACATAAATAAGTGGTTTTAATCCATTTTCTCATATGACTTAAACAGAGTACAAGTCAGAGTACAAAGGAAATGTTTCACAAAGTAAAGCTGTGATTTGGCCACCAATATATATATCTCTAACTCCATTGGTGGACGAGGATAATTAAAGTTTGGATTAAGATTTATGGTTGTATTTGTAGTCTTATATTAACCTTTAACTAAACAGAAAATAGGAAAAAAAATTCACTAAATGGTGCAGATTGAAGTCTGACACATTTTGCTGAATGAAGATTGCGTCACCAGCATAAATAGAAAGTCCGCTCAGTCCGCGTGGTTATAAATATTTGGGCTGCACGTGGTCGACCGCAAAGGGACCTTGTGGGGCCTTGTGGCTGGGTGGGGATGTCAAAGTCTATGTCACACAGGCCTTGAGATCAAGTGGCTTTGGAAATTAAAAACTACCTTTTTGGGCTGTTGTTTGTTGTCAGAAGTGTGACTGGCTGGTGTGTGATACCGCTGGATACATTCATCCAAGCGAAACTCACTGATTTGAGAAAGACCCTGATTCTACTCCCTTCCCACTTTACATGGCAGCTGGCAAACAATTTTGTTTTTGAAACTACATTCAGAAAACATGGACTTAATATCGCAAAGAAAATCTGCAACTGGTTGAAAAAATTGTGTTATTTGGGTGTTATGGCGTTATTGGGGCGATACTGCTTGCACAAAGCTTGGGCTCCTGTGGGCTAGTGGGTAACGGCACTGGAAAACTGGGCTGATTCGTATCAAAGCCCGAAAACTGGGGAGTCATTAAGAAAATTCATCTTGGACACAAGATGGTGGGGAGCATTATCCTGCTTGAGAAGGTTATTGCCATCAGGAAGTGCCGTTGCCATGGGTGAGCCGCGCTTGGTCTCCAACAATGTGTCAGTAGGTGGTGAGGAGCAGCATCTACAAGGATGCCACGAGCCAAAGTTTCCCAACAGAACCATGTTTTATGATTAGATGACCCATGCTGATGGCATTACATGTGAGTAGTTTAACTGTTTTGACAAGTTTATTAGCTGCACATAAGTGAGGAAGATGTAGGCTTGTGTTCCCAGTAAACAATCCTTAGCTTTATACATGCTTCCTGCAAGAAAAAGCTCCGATCATGTGACCACATTTAAAAGCCAAAACCTCTCTTTCAGCCAGTGTGAAAGCAGTGACACAGAAAAGCCTCACTGGCCTATTTTCTTGCTCCAACACAAAGATCTCTACAGCAGTAAAGAAATGGAGAGGGGGGTCCAGGGTCAAAGAGCGCATGTTCCAGGAAAGAGTCGTCCCCTAATGTTTTGTGGGCTGGTTTTAACAGCCAGGTAAAGCCAAGACAGCATGACAACGGGCACATCTGTGAAAACAAGCGATTCCCATGTAGCGTCTAATGGCAGTTGTGTGGGAACTCTTCAGAAAATAGCCAAAAAGTTGCATAGCGCGATGGTCTTCTGAACTCACAAGCTAATCGGGTTGTACAGGAAAAAAACAGTAGCTTCACTTACTGTGCCACTACACATTTTGGGAGACGAACGTTGGATCGTGAATCAATTCCAAGTTTGGACCCAAAGTCAGTTCATCCAACATCCCATCTGACCCGAAACACCAGCAAAAGGCTTGCATTGCAAAGTCCTGCTCTTTCACAAGCTTTCAATAAGAAACATCCCTCAAAGCTCTGTTATCAGCTTTACAAATATTACTATCAGGGGTGAAACAGGCAAGCTTTTTTTATCTCACTGGGATGGAAAACCTGAAGCAGCAGTTACACGATAAGGACGACACGGTGAAGAGCCAGATGGAAAAAAGCCCTTGATCGAGAGCTGTAACTCGGACGATTATTCAGCGCCCTAAGATAAAGTATATTTATGCTTTATGGAATTTTTTTTTCCTTACCCGACAGACGCAGGTGATGCAGGGGTTGTCAGTGATGTTGGGGATGTGGAGGACCTCTCCTTCGTTTTCGCAGCTAGCTTCCGTCCCTGTGAGAAACGGGAATAAGGTGAGATTCAGGTTGAGAACAGAACGTCTGTCATCTGATCCTGACTCGTCCGTCAAGATCAGATGACCCAAGCAAGCCATTTATGATGTTGGTAAAAAATACCAATAGGCCTCGATCAGCCAGCATTTAATAGGTGCTCTGTGCGTCGATTCCCTTTAGTTTTCCCCTCCTCATATTCATATTTGTCGGTTCAGGTAAAAAGCAGCGACATTCGAACCCACGTCTTAAAAACATGAGTCAGTAAGTCTGTTACGAGTCCAAATGTAATCTGAACCAACCACAGGAAACGACCCCAAACACACGGGTTTATGGGTAGAAGCAGACAGATGTCAGCATCTCAAAGCCTGCAGCTCCTGAGAGTTGGAGCGACAAAAAAAAGAAAGATCTGAAAAATATTATCATATGTAAATTAACTGATGGCTGGCGGGGAGTCTGACCTGAAAGAGATATCAAGCTGCAACCTTGACTCAGTTATCGAGCTGTCGAGTATTAGAATAAACAGAGTGAAGACAGCAAAGTGGAGGTTTTTGTGGTTTGAGTGAGTAAAAACAAACATCGCTGATATGACTGGTGATATCCCTGAACCCGTTGAATCATCAGGACATGGAACCAGGAAGTGGATGGACCTCGGTTAGTGCTGTGCACCCAACGTTGGTCATTCGGTCTCTTTCCATGCCAGGCTGATGAAGTCCACAGCTTATCCAGCGATCGCAAATAGACGGCGCTGCTATTTCTGCATCAGAAGCTGTTAAATTGGGAGCTTATATGACCAATGATAATACTGCGGGTGTTTATGGAAATAATATAATCAGATGGGCTTTATTAGTCCTGGTGCTGTCAGTAAAAATGCAATTTCGCTTTAATCTGTTTTGCTAATCCTCAAAAATATAATTATCTCCCCAAACTTTACACAAGGACAAGCCCAGCAAATCCCTTTGAGCAAGCACTTGGCAGCCCAGTGTAAACAAAAGACTCTTCATCTTGCGGTCGAACGTTATTGTGCCGTCACAGCAAATGAATCATCTCATTCCAATGGAGCAATATTTTCCCGAATAATTTCACCAGGATGGCTCGGTAGCTTTTACTCTTTTTAGAGAAATTCCTCTCCCGCAGGGACCTTGGATGTAAATCCTCACCGCTGACCGCTATGTTTGAGCAATAAACGGCTTCCTGTTTCTGTTTATGTGTCCCGCAAGTCTACAGCAACTCCTCTATGGCTGAATAAAACTGTTTCTCCATCATGATGTTTAACCTTCATCCAGGAACTGCCCCTAACACAAGTTGTACGAACCATACTCGAGCAACATCTGCTCAGTTCTGTTGGCGTATGGTGTCCTCTGACTTCAAACCGGTTTATTTGTTGTAATGCGGATCGGTCAAGGACTGACCTTTCTCTAAACCCATGTCATGAGCCAAAGTGATGAGACTGATATGTAGTATTTAAAGAGTCGGGGGAGCTGTTTTCCTTTCCTGTTACTCAGCTGATAAACTCCACTTGTAACACGTGCTACTTGGTCAACAAAACTGATGGCCGATGTCAACATGTTAAGAGCCGGAACCTCGAGTTCTGAGATGAGTTTTAACGGGGAAATGATCATCGGTGTCGGAACGTCCGCAGCAGTTCACGTCAAAAACGGCTAAATGAAAGCTTTCAGGTCTGCAAGAGAAGTAAACTTAGAATCCTCGGGTCTAAAATAGATCCCTGCAGGAGCGAGCTGCGCCGTCTGTTCTGTCCCTCTGCGCTGGGCAGTAAACCAGCCTGTGGATTCGGGCAGAGCAGACAAACCCTGCCGACTCCACCACCACTGTAAAATTTACAGCCTTCGAGCATAATTAAACTGGCAGGGCTGTAAGTGTTGGGGGGGGGAGGGGGGGGGGGGGGGGGGGGAGGGCTCTGACACAAAAACCTTCCTCTTGTGTTTTCCAGCCTGTCTCCTGCTAACAGATTTATACAAAGACAAAGACTGCATCCTTAAACCTACACGCTCATAAACCTCGGCAAATATTTCACATTGTCTAACTTTGATTCAACCGCTCAAGATTAAAATCTCCACTTTTACATTAAGAGGAAAGCAAATGACCTGAAACTACCCAAAGCAAAAAGCAGCAGAGAGGGAAAAAAACAGGATGGAGAACATAACGAGATAATGCAATTTAAAGTCAGTTAAAGGGCAGGAGCCGGAGGAGAGTCGGCGACGTGACCTCTGAGTTTGCAATTATTCTTACTGAGATGGTGATCCAGCTCTCACGGCCTCCTTCATTTTAGTTACCCCCGAAGAACCTCTTTTTATTAGAGTCTGGTGGATCTCTGATTGAATTTATTGAGTGTTAGCTAAATGCCATATACAGGAGTTATGAGTATTCGACTTGACAATTTGAACCTGTTGGCCCACTGTGAGACATCTCTGCACACACTGCTGGTTCTCAGTTTCCGGTGGCAGCAAAAGTCAGCAGACATGCACATATACAATCCAGTTAGAACAGTTGCAATAGAAAAAACTGGACCTTCCACTTTTAGTAAGTGAGTAAAAACACTCAGAGGAGGCTACAGCCTCCACTGTGAAGGACAAGAGTTGTTTTTTAGCTAAAGGCATAACCGATGAGTTTAAACTTGTAGTATTTGGTTTAGCTTGCCGTCGAATGCATTTTATGATACAGGCCAAGTCAAATTTTTCTAAACGATCCGTGAAATGAGGGGGCTTGGGTGAAATTGGAAGCAGCAAACAATCAATTATCAGATGAAAGGAAAAAAAAAACACATGGCATACTCTAAATAGCCTCAACGCGGGTCCCTCAGACTAACGCTCGCAGTAGACAAAGGTCAAAGGTTAACAGCACTGTGTTCATAAAGACATTTGAAACGCCAGAATCCTGGTGGAGAAAATCAGGGGGGAGAAGTACTGCGGAGCAGATTTGAATAAATACTGTGGTTGTGGGGGATAATCTCCCTACCTGGAACCAGCTCCACCTGCTGCGCTCACACAGGCAACAGCTGGAGTCTGAGACCTCAGACATCTCCATAACTTATGTTTGAGGTTCCCTCAGACAAAAGACAGATAATGCCGTGCATATTTGGGATGCCGGGTGGAGGAATCTGTTCTGCAGGGATCATTATTTACAGCCTTTCTCAGCTGATACAGACGGGCTGTCAGATCTCAGAGGTTTTCCGATGCTGATTGGAAGCCAAACAGGCACATATGTTTGACAGGGAAAGATCCATCTGGCACAGGTTTTTCCTCCTCGAATGATTCCCATGTTCATCTGATGATTAAGGAAGGGAGAAAAGCCAACAGGGGTTTAATATCTGAATTACTGCTCTGGAGTTTTGCGTTGATGTTGGTAAAGTCTTTTTGGATTTCATGTCATGAGAAAGTCCAACTTAGAGTTAAAAGCTTCTGTTCTCAATCACTTTTTGCTTCTTTTTATGATTTAAACTAATTAAACTAACCCTGCAAATGCTCGCAGTGGCAAACCGGAAACCCGATAAATAGGTCTAACTATAACTAATTCAAACCGGAGCAAAGTCAGATCAGTAAAAGCCACACAGAGGAAGGACAGAGGAGTCCTCCCGGAGGAAAGACGCACGCAGCCGACATCACTTTTCGTTCACTCTGCTGCTGTTCTCAGTCCTAAAAGGGTGCATGTTCAACCCATACCGACCCAAGCAACCTGCGTTTAACTAAAACACAATGAAAACATTGCAATTCATTTAAAAAAAAAACATACTATTCGTTTAAACAGATGTATGAGCGCTTCTCCTACTTCTGTTTGCTTCTTCTTTGCTTGCACTGAACTGCGCCATCATTCCCATAACTTAATCTCCACATTTGTGGCGATTCAAAACTCAGAAACCGAAGTGACTCCAGTGCGCTCCTCAGAGCAGAGAGCAGGCTGAAGCAGCAGCAGACTAACATAACCAGCGGTTTGGATAGATTTTTACGCACGGTGGGTGTTGTGATGTATCATTATGAAGCCATATGATCCCTTTAATCTTACCTGTAATTAGCGGAGAGGAAGACCGGGGCGTTTGTAGCAGCCACACAAAGCAGAGGAAAAACCTACAGGTGGACCAGGAGGGAGAGTTCATACTGCGGAGCAACATCCTCGGGATTGCTCCGTGAAAAAAAAAAATGTATGAAATATTCTGCAGGGTATGAACTAATCAAAAGTATAAAAAAAATCAAAATAAAATAAAGTCAAACAAATCCGCAGTTAGCGTCTATCTCTGATTTGTTTCTTTTCTTTGGAGGCCGGCAGACAGACTGCTTAGTGTGTCCTGGTGCTCTGAAATGCAAAGCGACAATCAGCCAGACGCGCGATAATTAGAGTTTCATTAAAATGACAAAGATGGGGCGGCACGCAGGAGCCAGCGGGGCTGCACATGTCCGGAGCTGAGAACACAGGTCCGTGCTGGGATTAGGCACTTTTATCAATCAGCAGGAGTCATACATCCTGGAAATACAATAATCCAGATGAGAAATATGGATGGCGTTAAAATATAAAAAAAAAAAGAATGACACGCCACACCGGCTGTCAGAAGAGTCCAAACCACAGTGCGTGGTAGTTTTCAGAATTATAACAACGTGACAGCTTCAAACATCACCAAGCAGCCCGCTGGTGAGTCTGTAAATAGGAAAAAAAAAAACTGAGAGAAAGAACTCAAGCGTAATGATCTGCGCTCTTGGTTCAAAATCCGCGTGCCGTGTGGATGAGCAGAATGCAGCCTCTCTGTGTCTGCGCGGCGTAAAAAAGTCGACCTGCTTCTGCTCCTCCTGCGCTGATATTAAAGCGGACCTCTGGTGTGGGAGAGCTCCACGGAGCCGCAAAGTCCTGCCTCCTCTGCGCAACCCGGGACCTCCTCCTGCCTCCAGAGCGCTCCGGAGCCCCGTCCAGACTCTCCAGACCCTCTCTGACCCACGTCTCATCTCCTACAGCAAAGTAATACCCTTTTTAAAATGTATCTATCTCCAGTCATATAACATTTCTTTCTTTATTAGCTGTATGTTCGCTGCTTGTTGAACAGTAAATCGCTCTACATTTGTGCGAGTGCGCACGACTGGCAAGAAAAAAACTGCATATC